GAAGGACCATGGAGCAAATTTGATCTTTAAAGAATTCCAGTTTCTCTGAAAGAATAAAGCTGGATAGCCATCTGACCCTGGTGCTTTGAACGCACCAATATTGAACAGAGGCTGCTTAATTTCAAGCTCAACAGGATACCTGTCAAGACCCTCCATATCACTCTCAGAAAGATTAGGCCACATATTAGCTGAGGAAATCCATCTTCTATCTGTGCTCTCTTCAGTAAACAGCCCCTTGAAAAAATTAGAAGCTAGCTCCTTAAGCTCAGCGGCATTTGTAATCCAAGCATCCCCCTCACTCTTCAACTGAAAAATTTTATTAGCATTTCTCCTCACAACAGTACTAAGATGATAGAATTTTGTATTTCTATCGCCATCAGTAATCCACTTTTGTCTTGATTTTTGATACCAAAAAAGCTCCTCTTCATGAAGAACATTCTCTAGTAACTCTTGACAGTGTTTCTCCATATTTTGCAAATAAGGAGTATCATTATTTTCCCTATTGTGCTGTAAATTGCCAATCCTTTTGATCAGAGTATTTTTCCTCCTATCAATGTTGCCAAAAATCCTATTATTCCAGACTTTAATGTCCGGAATTAATCTTTGAAGCATATAAGGGAGATCAAAGCTCGGATCCCAGTTGGAATTAAGAAAATCTTTAAAGTGTTGATGCTCTTGCCACGCAGCAAAGAACCTAAAAGGCTTCTTATTATTATCATTATAATCCTCAAACAGCTTGAGGAGAAGAGGGTTATGGTCAGAGAGCAGCCTAGGAAGAGAGGACACCCTAGCTTCATCAAAGGACATTCTCCAATCTACATTAGCCACAATCCTATAAAGCCGTTTAAACACTCTACTCATATTAGCCCATTTAGGGCCTTGCCATGTAAAGAACGAGCCATCACACCCCAAATCTGCAACTTGGCACTCATCAAGGACAACAGCAAAATTGGTGCACTTAATAGGATCAGCTGGAACACCACCTTTCTTCTCATGAGTAAGAGCAATTTCATTAAAGTCACCACCAAGAACCCACGGTCCATCAATAGAACTACTAAGGGTCCGAAGGTCATCCCAAAGAGAATTCCTTACACTCTGGGACGAACTGGCATAGATGGCCGTGAACTCAAAAGACTTACCATCAGGGATATTAATTCGACAGTGAATAAATTGATTTGATTGAGCAAGAGCAGTGATATGAACTTTATTACTATTCCACATTATCCATATGCCACCTGATACTACTTTCAAAACTTCATTGAATCAAATTATTGTTGTTTTGATACTATAACCTGTGTGTTGTGTTTGTTTTTTATTTCTCCTTTTTTGTATAAAAAAATGGAGGACAATAAGAAAGATGAAAGGTTATTTTCGTAAAATTACTCTATATTTCTAGCAATATTTTACAATTAACCAAACATAGCATCAGGAAAATAACCTAACATTCATGGCGAAATTTTGGCTTACCAAACAACTTTTTGGTAACATTCTCGAGAAAGAAAATTTCTCACGATATTCCCAGAAATCATAATTTTCAAATAAAAAAAATCTCTGCTCTGCCAAATACCCCCTAGCTAAAAGACACTTCCTCATTTTGTTCCATCCTCCGTGGAGGGGGAGTACCACATAGTTAAGAAAATGATTGATGCCTAAAGCATGTCTACTTAAGATCTTTATCCTTTCTAGTAATCAAGATATATTGAGAAGAGAGACCTGAAGACGCGCCTTTACTAGAAGAGAACAGTGGAAGGTAATGTGTCATGTTGTTATTGGAGAGAGAACAGAGGCAAAAGAAAGAGATATAGGTGTGGATGTGGGATATAATGTAATTTATTTTATTTTATTTTTTCATTGTGTTGAAGACATATTGATTTGGATTTAATATGAAGGTGCAGAAGTAGTAATAAGGATAGTAAATACAAGGAGGTGGTAAGTAAAACCATCTACTTAAAATATAACTGTAAATATGTTTTAAATTTTTTTATGAGTGGGCACCTATAATCAACTTCATTCCCCGCTGAAACAACTTCTCATCCATTACTAAACACAAAATGTATCGGCTCATAGCCCCTACAGTGATGTAAATTAGGGTACGACATTAACAGAAGTGATCAATTGGTCTATTTACAAGAGTTAAAGCAAAGAGATTCAAGAAAACACCCAATGATCTAATTCCATAAATTTGTTTCCAATCTAATTTATGTCCTATTAAGTTTGATCAACATTTTCAAAAAGTTTGGATAATAAACTTAGCTTATTTTGAGGGTTGAGATTTGGAGTTTTGAGCTTGAGTTTATAGGATAATATGTTATTTTTATCCTTTTCTTTATATTTATCTTTAAATAGTTTTTTAGTTTTAGGAGATAGTTATCTTCTTTTTTTAATCTTTATGTTTATCTTCTTCTTTTTTAACACTTTCATTAGTTTTAGAAGTTTTAATTTTGATTGATTTGTAATTAGTCATCCGTATCTTTATCTCTATCTTTCTTTAGTTTAGTCCTTTTAATTCTGATTACTTGTTAATTGGCATAAAAAAGGTGTACATGAATCAGAAAAAGATCAAATTTGGTTTTTTATTTATAAAATTTGGAGAGGTTTGTCCTTGTATTCTTAATATTATGGACTCGCATGAGAGGTTCATATTCTAGAAAGTCCAAGAAAGGAGCATCATAAAAGAGAAAATTAAAGGGGCGAAAAATCTTTAAATGATATTAATCCTAACGCGACAACGATGTATCTAGCATTGGCCGCCCAGAAAAGTCACTAAAGTCAAGAATTCTACTACACACAGGTAAATTCTATAAATAAGAGATAAAATTTATACATTTATTCTCTCTCTATTTATTATCATTATGCGCACACACCACCCTTTTTGCTATGCCATTATTTTTTGTGTATACTAATCTGCTACTTTAAAAGGTATCTCCTTTATATATATTTGAGAGAGTCCTTAAATTCAACATAAACTCAGTATTCTTTAACTAAAGATCTCTATCTCTAGAATAGAACACTTATAAACTAAGTTTGCATTGGCCGATCAAGTTGCAAGCTTGGTTGTGGCAATATAACTCACCACATCAGTTCTTAATCTCCTTGCAAGCAACGATCGTTGTATCAAAGGTTCTTAGTTTCGTTGAACAATAGGACGTATTTCCTTAATTCACTTCTTTCTTGGGTGAGGAGTTGCCTTGGATCATCGTAATGAGTACTCTTCCCTTGACAAAATTTGCATTGCATTCCAATTAAAAGGTATTAAGAAACCACTACTAGAAAAAACAATTTCAAAAATCTCAATATCAACAACATCAATTATACCTTTATCTCAAATTAGTTTTGGTCGGTAATGTTAAGAACCTTGGGATACACCACCCTAAAAGCTAGCTCAAGGGGTGAGAGTGCCCAAAGCCTTATAAAGGTTATATTAGTTGCTCATCCAATCAATGTGGGACTATATATCTCAACACGCCCCCTCACGCAAGAGCCCTTTAGGCTAGAAGCGTGGAAATTGCACAGGCCCATTTTTGGTTTACCTTTTTGTGCTTTTTTTATTTTATTTTAATTCCACTTTTTAAAGCGGGGGACGGTGAGGCTCTGATACCATGTTAAGAACCTTGGGATACACCACCCTAAAAGCTAGCTCAAAGGGTGAGAGTGTCCAAAACCTTATAAAGGCCATATTAATTGTTCATCCAATCAACGTGGGACTATATATCTCAACAAGGTAATTTGAAAAATCTCACAAATATTGCTTATTATTTAGAGTTATGCAGCAGAATTACATAAACTTCATAATCTTTCCTAACATAGGCAACAGGTCAAACGTGTTAAATAAATATATATATATATATATATATATATATATATATATATATATATATATATATATATATATATAAAATTCTCATTTTACATGAGAAAAATTTTTCATGTTACACACACAATTAAAATGTGGGTCCTATTTTCTCATGCTACACATTTAATAGGGGTTCACAAAAAAGTGAAAAGACAAAAAAATAAAAAAGGGACCCACATTTTAATTATGTGTGTAACCTGAGAATCTTTTCTCATATAAAATAAAAAAAGATTAACCCATATATATATATATATATATATATATATATATATGCACAATGACTGTCTTATTTCACATCAGGGAATAAATACTTCCTATCCTCACATCAAGCTTTGTGTCAAAAAAAATTTTTAAAAAAAAAAAAAAGTGGACTCACATTTTTGTTTGAGTAGTAGATAACTTATTCCTTCCTATAAAATGAGAAAAGTTTTCCCATATATATATATTGAAATTGAATATTTTCATATTCAATAATACAATATTTGAAATTGATTCCTTTTAAAAAGTAATGGTGACATTTTTGTATGAGAATCGGTTGATTTAAATTATAAAATCATAATTGAGCATATGTTTAATCTCACATATACCACAGGTTAATGTAAAGAATTATTTGTTTTCTTAATATCTTAACAATTACTTGTTATCTCACCACCTCAATTTTTTTATTTCAACATATGTGGGATATACATAAAAAGTAAAGTATGTACTATTTTTCATTTAATTCACTCTATTATGCTTAATAAGTTAATATTAATGAATTTTAAATTGTTTTAAAAGATTCACAAGAGCTTTTCATTGGAGTAGCTTAAACTATTTAAACATGGACTCAAAATAAAAATAAAAAATATTTCCTTCTGAATTCTGATTTAGACTAGAATATTGATAAACAGCTTTTCAAAATTAACTCTTTTGCATTTTCAATTTGTACAATCACCTTTTTTTCATTTTCAAAGAAGTAAGAGAATTCAAGAAAACATAAATATATCACTTCATCATTTATTTTAGAAAAATTCATTAATATTTCATAATAATAATCTCATCCTTGATCTATATATATATATATATATATATATATATATATATATATATATATATATATATTGGTTAAATATTTTCTTAATAATATCTGGAATAATCCAATTCGATATAAGTTCCAAAAACCCAAAGCGCAAGCGTTACTGTTGCAGAGAGAGAGAGAGAGAGATTGCGATTGACGCGAAGAAAAATGGTGAACTACATGCTCATGATCAGTGCTGACCTTGAGAACCTCACCAATCTTGAACCTCAAAGTGGCTGCGATGACCCCAACTTCTCCTACCTCTTCAAGGTACCATCTGTCTTACTTTCGTTTTTTTTTTTTTTTTTTTTTATGAAAACCAGCATCTTGGGTGACAAATAATTGCTTATAATTCTTTGTTTCTTAATAATTGCCTTTTTTTTTTAATTTTCTCTTTTTGTTATGATAGATGAAATGTGGAAGATGTGGAGAGCTGACCCAAAAAGAAACTTGTGTGGCCTTAAACGACACCGTTCCTCTCCCAGTTGGCAAGGGCACCACCCATCTCATTCAAAAGGTAATCTCTTCCTGCCTCAACCCCAATTCGGCGTTTCATCTAACCAATATTTATATTATTCGATTGAATAAATAATCAATTATGTTTTATATTTTCTTATCTTATTTTTAGTTGTAAATGTTCACCTAAAAATAGGTCTGGGCTTGGAGGTATATAATAATTTGTCAGTTTTTTCCTTATATTCATTTACTTCATCTGATTATGTGTGTATATGATAGAAAAAAGAAAGGAAAGGCCACATTATCCCAATATATAATTTACAAATGGAAATGCAGCTCATGCTTTGCATACAGTTATCTAACTGAATTTACATTTTATTTAATGTGACTCATGAATTTGTAAGCTTACTATCAAGTTACAACCGAGCATCATTCTATTTATGTAGCATCTTTGGCCTTGTGCTTATGTTAGAAAAGATTCTGGAAATGTTATGTAGTTCAGCTGGATAACTTTAAACATAAAGCAATATTTTTCATTCATCTGAGATTCTTTGAAGTTTTTGTTTCTGCAGCTGGTGGTTTCTTAACACCCTTTATTTGGTGTGCAGTGCAAATTTTGTGGCAGGGAGGGTACTGTTACAATGATCCAAGGCAGAGGTAAACCGCTAACCCAGGAAACAAGTGAATCAGGGAAGTATGCCCCGTTAATGTTATTCGACTGCAGGGGCTATGAGCCAGTAGATTTTGTGTTTGGTAGTGGATGGAAAGTTGAGTCGGTGAGTTTCTTGTTCCATGTTTTCATTACTTTTGATGTCATGTCTCTGGTCTCCTTTGATTGTTCAATGTTGCTGTTATATAACCAAAGGGGGTTGATTCAATTAGTATATGCTTGATTCCGCTTAAGCAAGGTCTTGTATTCAAGTTCTTGTAAATGCAAAAAGTTCTCTTTGGAAGAGCTAGTCCTATCATGATATGGATGTTCCCGACTCAAACAGTATTGACTCCTGTGGAGGATACCTGTGGTTTATCCAAAAATAAAAATGTTGCATGTTACATAAATTGAATATTGTAAATAGCTCAAATACCCTCTTTTCTCTATTATAGCAATATAATCATGTGTTTCTATTGCTTTCATTCAGTTCTTGTTTGAATTGGATTTCACATTTGATCTGGTTTGATGCTTACTGTTGTAACTAAATATATATTCTCCCTGGGATCAATATTGGAAATCATGTCCCAAAAGTTTACCTGCGAACTTAAAACTGACATGAATTTGTTGTGATTAATTTCAAGATCTTCTACTCCAGAGTCTACAGAAACTAAACCAATAATTATATGAGAAGATGAGCAAGTTCAAATTAATTTTCATTTTTCACAATCAGATTTGCTAGATATGCTGCCCCTTTCTGCCCACTTGAATCGAATTTCATGCAAAAATTGTACTAGATGATTTTCCTCTGTGGAAACATCTTCCAGCTTTAAGTATTGGCTTTCTTCTTTTCCATGTAATTTATGTAATACCTTATTTCCTATATTTCTTCCCCATTCTTTTGTCTCTGGTGTTTCTTATTTGATGGATGTAATATCTATCCTCTAATTCTAGAATTTACTCTTCTGTTTTCCAGTGTTCATTTTTTATACAGTTGCTAGACATTTTTGTTACATCATAAATTTACTATATGTTTGTTCTATTTTTCTAATTAATGCAAGTGGTACTTTTATAGCTGGAGGGAACCAAGTTTGAGAATGTTGACTTGTCAAGTGGAGACTTTGCCGAATATGATGAGAAGGGAGAGTGCCCGGTCATGATATCCAATGTTCGATCTACTTTTGATGTGGTGAAGTAGAGAGACCTAGTTTGCTGTTTGAATATTGTCTTGGTATATAAAACTGACTGTTTTATTTTGGATGAGCTTTTGAGCGCTGGGGTACATCGTAATTAGGCAAGAAATTTGTATGATCTTTTAACATTACATGTTAACCCTAGTTTATTTCTTGAAGGTGGAAAAACAGCTTCCAAGTGATTGATGAAGTTCACTATGCATTTCATGCTTAGAAATTTGTATCGTTTTAATGTCTTTGTCCAATCTAGATTAACTAAGTAATGTGATTAGTTGCAACTTCAGAAAAGGACATTGAGTGCTTTCCGCTGAAGTTGCTATAATCACACGAAAGGCCATGCAGGTGTACCAAATGGTAGCAGCGAGAAAAATAAGAAACCGAAGGAAATATTTGCTGCGTAAAGTCCTAGTTTAAGGTTCACCAAATGGTCTTTTTAGCAAGACGTGCTCTGTGTGGATTGTGGTTTATTTTTTCTTCGGTTACATATGGTTTATTTTTTCTTCTTGAAATGCAGTTAAAGTAAATAACACATACAATTTTTGAATGCTTGATCTTTATCACAGAAAAGGCTAGGTACTTACAATTTTGTTTGGTATTTATGTAGTATGTTATAAAGATTACTTTCAGACTTTATAATTATAGTATTCCACCGAAATTGTATCACTTCATTTCATTGTAAATCACTACATTTTATTTCTTATTAAACTTCTATATTATTTAGTTTGGATCATATTTATAGAAGCATGTATTTTTTTATTAAAAATAAAATTCATGTGTTATTAATCATAAAATAAGTAAGGGTTTGATGTTTGTTCTTTTAAAGGACAAAAAATTGTGTCTTTTTAAGTGAGAAAAGATATACAATGAAAATTATGGGGAAAAAATAAGTGGTTTTTTAATTTAAATTTTAAATAAAAAATATTAATTTTAACTAAAATGATTGATCTTTAAAAGGATAAATATTTTTTTCAACAAGTAAAATTGGATGTGTTGTTTAATTTTAGGAAAAAAGATGTGTCAATGATATATCTTACATTCTTTTACTTCAAAAAGGTGAGAATCACATTTTTAAAATTTTCCCCTCTCCCTCCACTCTTTTTTTCATTATTTATTTCTTTCTCTCACTTAAAATAACACAATTTTATGTTCGTCGAAATGATACACACTTTTCTTTTAATTTTATATCACGAGGTGACAATTACAAAACATATAAGCGATGTTTTTTATTGTCTTTTATGCCGTCCCCACGGAGAAAAGAATTTACACAGAACGAAACAAACAATAATAGGAAGGGAAAGGCGCCACCTACTAGTCATCCTTGAGCAAATACCAAAGATACGAAATATTTGATTCAATTGGTCGTGAATATCTATCTTATCTTAAAGAAGGAGAAAATCAAATCAAATTGCTTACCTTTGGTCCAATAAATTTAAAATATTAATTTTTGTTAAAAGTATATGCATTAGCAAACAAAGTTGATATACATTTTTCTTGCACTTTTTATTCAAAATTGTGTGGACAATTATTCTTACAAAAAAAAATATAAATAAATTTGTTAAAAATTATCCCTACCTTGTGAGTTGTGACGAAGGAAAAGAATAAGCAAAGGTACAAAAGCATACGGTTGATGTTGAATACAAAACATAAAATGATGATAAACTCTACCTTGCAAAATTGTAAATGACAAATGTGTTATACTTTTTTCATTTTGCACGAAAAAAACAATTTTTTTATACACACAGAAGAGGAGATGAGTCTCATTTCTTTTTTTTTTCTCTCTTCTCTTATCTATGAGTCTTACTTGTAATTTTATTTCTACAACATAAAATAATTATTTTCCTACATCATAAGAAAATTATTTCCCATGCTAAATATACTATAATGTGAATAAATAATATTATTATATACAGCACGCGAAAGAAAAATAGATACACCTCTTCTACATTGGGTGTCCTTAATCCTCACAACATGAGGATGTGGCAACTCTCTCAATACTAGGAGTCCCTACCCGTGTGCATAAGAACACAGTAAGATTCCTCAAATTCATTCATCATCAATTATCTCAAAAATCCACGCTTCCTAGTAAAATTACCATGTGGCAAATTCGTCTGTTTCTGACTCTCCACTTCTTCCCACTCCACAGAGACAACTAATTCGGTAAGATAAAAACAAATAAATATTTTTTTTTTTTTTTTTTTTTTTTTAATATCCATGTGCCATTAATCTTGTTCTTCCTAACATCACATATTCAAAAGTTTGACTCGGCGCAGTCTAGCACACCCTATTAGATCCGTGGCGGTTGTTCTAGTGAACAGGGTCATGTTATGGCAGAAGATTTTCTGAATTTTCGATGACCATATGATAAATTTCACACCTTTATATTCAGTGATGACTTCATTTGCGTTCAAGATTGGATCTTGCATAACCTAGAGCCAGAGCAGAGGGTGGTTGCCATAGTAGATTTTTCTTTTTTCCTTTTTTTTTTCTTCTTTTTTTTTTTAATAATTTCTAAGCAAGATGCAATCGAGGGTCGTGGCCCTTGAAGAAGGAAAGGAAAGAACTAACCAATCCAAAGGTTTGCCTCTACGGCCACTGCGTCTACTTGTATTGTTTCTTGCTCTATGTGTTGTGTTCTCTGTTATCAGCATATACACCATCAAGCATTTTGGAATTGAGAGTGTGGTCACCACAGTGAGCTCGAGTTTTCAGCCATGTTATGAGGAACTGGGTGGTTTGGATAAATGGATTAGGCCTCCTTCGAAGCTGATCCACAATATGAGTGATACAGAACTGCTGTGGAAAGCTTCCTTTGTTCCTCGGATCAAGAATTACCCTTTTCAAAGAGTTCCCAAGATTGCATTCATGTTCTTGACTAAGGGACCGTTGCCTCTGGCACCCCTTTGGGAGAGGTTTCTGAAGGGACATGAGAGGCTTTATTCCATATATATTCATTCACTGCCTTCGTTTCATGCTCAATTCCCTCCTTCGTCTGTCTTTTATAACAGGCAAATTCCTAGCCAGGTATGATGATATTGATCTTTTGCTACTATTTATTGATGAAACTTCACTTGCTCATTTTTTTTTCTTTTAGACAACACCTTGATCTGAAGTTGCTAATGCTTCGTTGGTGCCCGTTTAGTTGTTTTATATTGTTCATCTATTGCAGGGAGATGTTCACAAATTTTATTTCTTTTTTTGGACCTTGTTTATCCTCGTTTTAAGGTTCTGATGAGAATTTAGTTATCATTGATTGTAGCATCTATGAACTTTATTTTTGTTATATCTTACTTTATGAATTCTCTACGGTGGTTAGATAGATTTTCTTGTCAGTGTTACTTGATTAGTGCATCAGGGTGCTAGATTTAGGTAAGCAACTAAGGAAGAGGCTGACGAGGGTATGCAAAACATGCAGGTTTACTATGTTGAGGATTTAGGTTTCTAACAGGCCTGAGTCAAAAAGTTCTGTAATCTCACAATGGCAATGCAATTATAAGAATTCTAAATTATACTCCCAGAATATAAAGATTCTGTTAGGATGTATGTGTACACAAGGTGATGATTCAGTGTATGTATTAGTCTTGAAGATGAGTAAACCTGTAAGTATGCTACCTAGTTATCTATACCTAGTTACAAGTTCAGAATTGTCATTTTTGAAATATCATTGTCTCTGCAAATCTTATGTGCACTTCAGTGTTAAAAGACACGGTAAAAGTTTGGAAGAAGAATTAAAATAAGATCACATAGGGGTTAAGTTTGAGCTTTCAAGGAGAGGTATGGCAGTAATTGGCAATTATTTATTCTTTGTTTCTTTTGTGATTCTTTAGTAAGAGAAATCTGTAGCTGGGGTTAAGATATTGTCCTAATGGATGGTCTGCACATATATAGGATATCCCAGGAAAATGGAAAAGTTTGTTTAGTAGATTATCATCGTATGTACTTTTAATTAGGGTTTATCAAGGGCCAACTTTCCTAAAAGTTTAAGAGCCCGTTTGTTTGGCCTTTTAAAAAAGCAACTTTTATGCCTTGCTTATTTTAGAAGTGTTTTTTACAAAAATTAAAGTTATTTAGATTTAAAAAAAAATATTTGGCTTTTGACTTCTGTTTTTTTTAGAACCTAAAATTTTTAGCTTCCAAAAAAAGTAAGTTTTTGGCTTTTTTTGTGACTTTTGTTTTTTTATAGAACAGACATCCAAACGAACTTATAATGAAAAGTGCTTTTTTTTCTTAAAAAAAAATAGTTTTTGGAGAGAGAAAAAAGCTCATCCAAACGGACCCTAAGTTATTAGGTGAAAGTACAATATAAGTTTTATATCTCTAACATGCTCCCTGAATTGGGGTGGAAGGGATCTAACATGAGATCACTTGGTAACGAAAGCTCTAATATTATGTCAAGGATAACTTTCTGGTAAGCTTAAATTGTTAGATGAAGTCACAAGATTAGTTTTATATCCTTAACAAGGTGCGATGGTTGCTGCTTTTCATATCATGGATGCACAGCCTAGCGACTCCCTGAATCTAAGCTTCCACATTGCCAAGGTGACTACTGCAATCCAGGGAAAATGACATATAATTTGGGGAACCCACTGACTTGGTTAGCGGCTTAGAGCTGAGAGAGTGATCACAAAGTCAATTGCACAGAAGCTTGCAGCAAACATGAATCATGAATTTGATAGATCCTCGTATTCACACTGGAGTTTTAGGTAAAGTATAGAGCAATGCTCTGATTACAGTAGCAAGAAAACAGAAAAAACAGAAGATGAAAATGGAAAATAAAGATAGTCTCAGAGAAGCACTGGTTGCTACTCTTCCCTAAGGCCTAAGCCTACCCGATTCCCTTCACAGACTCTATGTCCTCATCTGATCCAGCTTCCTCCATCATATTCCATCCACTCTCCATGCTTCCTACACCCCCTTCACCAATGCCCTGCTTCCACCTGTCAATTCTCTTAGACTTCTCCCACACATTCCCTGTTCTGCCCTTTTTTCCTTGCTTCTTTTCTTTCTCTGGTAAACCTGAATTTGAGGCCCATCAGGCCCGGCAAAGGGTTCCCATCAGATTTATTTTAAGTGGCTGGTAAACTGTAATCTTTTAAAGATGCTTCATTGCATTGAGAATTAGTGAAGATACAAGTTGCAAATAGGTAGGATAACATAGCCAGTAAATTTTTCTTTGTTTTTAAGTGCTTGAATTAGTCTTTGTTATCTCTTTAAGGAATTAAAAGGTGCAAAGGATGTAGTGGTTGTGTCCATTGCTTTTGCTCAGGTGTTAACATGGGTCAAGTAACGATTCATGTATCCATATTATTATATATGCTCGGTCATATAATAAGTGTGTGTCTTGAGCTTAAGGGCTTAGGAACTCATTATGAGCCTTAACTCCACATATTTGCTGCATTTTAGAGTTCAGAACTTCAGATTATTATTGCGTTAGTTTTTTGGCTTAACCTCTATTCTATTCTTCTTGGCTTTGAATTTTTTATCTAAACATTGGAAATACATGGAAGCCTATAGTGGGTGGTTTCCAATTTGTATTAGTTTTCTTGTGAATATGAAAAAAAATTGTGCAGGAGTTCCATTATTCACACCTCTGATGATAGACTTTGGTGTATCTACCGCAGGTTTCTGAGTGGGGAAAGATGAGCATGTGCGACGCGGAAAGAAGACTACTTGCTAATGCATTGCTTGATATCTCCAATGAGTGGTTTATTCTGCTGTCTGAATCATGCATCCCTCTCTACAAGTTTAGCTTCGTGTACCATTATATAATGAAATCCAAATACAACTTCGTTGGTGCGTTTGATGACCCTGGTCCATTCGGAAGAGGGCGCTATAATGAGAACATGGCCCCTCTGGTGAACATCACAAAGTGGCGTAAAGGGTCTCAATGGTTTGAAGTGAATCGAAAGCTTGCCATTAACATTGTTGAAGACACTGCATTTTATCCAAAATTTGAACGATATTGTAGACCAGCTTGTTATGTGGATGAGCACTATTTCCCCACCATGCTAACCATTCAAGCAGGGAGTGTCTTGGCAAATAGGAGCTTAACTTTTGTGGACTGGTCTAGAGGTGGAGCTCACCCTGCTACCTTTGGAAGAACAGATATTACTGAGGAATTTTTCAAGAGAGTTCGTGGAGGTCACCAATGCTTATATAACAATCGAAACTCTTCAGTTTGTTTCCTTTTTGCTAGAAAATTTGCTCCCAGTGCTTTGGAACCTTTGTTACGTATGGTGGATTCAAAGGTCTTGGTCTTCTGACAAATATTTTCACTTTCCATTGGGCAACTACGGGAAAATACACATGTAGAATGAAATGAAAGTCTTTAGAAACTTACATTATATGGCGCGTGACATGGTGATTGCCTGATCGATGAGTGCTAGGTGGGAGACATGACCTCACTTCTCATAATACACCGTTGAGTCATTTTTTTAATGTAGAAAGGAGACGTATTTTGATCATACATCTGTTTAATATTAATTGTTTGGATCCTTGTGTTATCTCTTTTTACTTTCTTATTCTCTTACGTTTAAGGTAAGAGTGGAGATTTTGACAAATTCTGAAGCAAGAGTGACCTTAATTGTTGTCACAAAAATTAAAGTTAAAAAGAAGGGTTATGTTTATCTCATTTTACATGAGATAAACAACTTTTTTACATACACAAAAAAAAAAAATTAGGTCTCATCACTCTTTTTTTATCTGTGGGTTCACTTGTAATTTTATTTCTACAACATAAGATAATTATTTTCCTCCAACATAAAAAAAGTAGTATTGAGAGGCTGATGAAAATTCAAAACCAAAGATATAGTCAATTGTCTATTTTGGTTTATTAAATAAGTAAAGAAGGAAAGTGCGTCTATTTTAACACTACCTTGGCGACTTGGCGTGGATGCTAAACCACTTGACTAGTTTCCCTAGTTAGATGACTAAACAAGGTTTACAGCAAAAATGACAGATTTATTTACCTTACGTGTCCATTAACCAAACTACAATACTAAAATACTTAACAGAGAAGGTTCTGGAAAGTGGACACAACACAACAAATATCTTACACACAGTCCCACGAGTTTCAACACTATTCGTCCACCAAGTTCCTTCCATTCCGTGGTCCCCACTCCACCTCCAAAGTTGCAATCACCATTATTGTTGATTACTTATTCTTTAGCTGGCTTTTGTTACAAGGATTTTGGTCGGATTCTCGAAAAATTGAATTTTTTTAAATTTTAAATTTTCGGATATTATCGTAACTTGAATATAAAAATTATATTTTTAAAAATCGAGATTCTCGGACAAAATTTTTTTTTCCTCTACCAAACGCGGGACAATGACCATTTTGCCACGTTTTGACAAAAAAATTACCAGAATGTCACGCGAACAGTAAAATTTCTCAAACTACCACGAGGCATAATTCGCTATACTGTGTAGCGAATTATGCATGCAAATAATTCGCTACACAGTGTAGCGAAATATGCCACGTCAGAACCAAAAAGTGCCATGTAGCGAATTTCAACATTTGACTCATGGCACTTTTTGGTTCTGTGCATTCTGACGTTGCATATTTCGCTACACTGTGTAGCGAATTATTTGCATACATAATTCGCTACACTGTGTAGCGAATCATGCCGCGTGGCAGTTTGAAAAATTTTATTGTTCGCATGACATTCTGGTAATTTTTTTGTCAAAACGTGACATTTTGGTCATTGTCCCACCAAACGCCGCGTCAACGAATGCTTATATTCAAGGTGTTACTTTTCTCATCCTGGACAAAATACAATTTTGCTGCATACTCATGTTTTGGTGGGCCTGCAATTTTTTATTTTTTTATTTAAAAAAAAAAGATGCAAAAATGAAGGATGCGTAGAAAATTGATTTTCTTATCCTTTATTTTACCCTATATTGAATTAGGAAACAAAATTAAATTAATTTTAAAAAAAAAATCAAAGAATTTTTATTTTTATTTGCTCATTTTTAAAATAAAATTATTTTAAAAAATACTACTTATAAGAAATATTCATATATAAATATTCCCATTTCCTGTGTTTCACACCCCTCTTAAGTTACTCATATTTCTGATATATTTTAAATCAAATAATTATATACTTTTTTAAATATAGTCTTAAAACAGAAAAGTAGCGTGTGTGAGAGGCTAGTTGTTGAGGTGCAACGACGTCGTTGCTCTGTTGTTGGTAATGAATCATGTGAAATCTGAATCTGTTGCGACACAATTAAAGCAGATCCAGCTGGCAACTGACCAATCGCCAGTCTGTTATACGGGCAGCTACCCAAACTGCCCGCAACGCCGCTTCTCTACTTCTATATAAACCACGCTCTTCCCCTTCCATTTTCAGTTGTGCTATTCCTTTCCGAGCGAAACCTCAGGGGTAATAACGAAACCCAAACCCTCAAAGAAGCAAAGAGAAAAAAAAAAACTGAGTAGCACCAATGGCTTTCTCTAAAGTGATGATTCTCGCCGCAATGTCGGTGCTCGTCGCCGTCATCTCCGTCGTCGGCGCCGCCGAGTCTCCGGCTCCCAGCCCTACCTCTCCCGCCTCCGTTGTCTCGCCGTCCTTCGCCGCCGGTTGTCTTGCCGCCGCCGTCGCTCTTGTCTTCGGATCTGCTCTCAGGATCTGAGCTTATATGCTTGTGCGCATGGATTTTCTCTTTTACCTGTGTGGATTTTTAGTATAGGTCGAGACTTGTAGTATATAATTCTCTCTCTCTCTGTGTCTCTTTCTATTGCGGTGTAGAGATTACATATGTTGATTTCTCAGTCTTTGTTGTTATTATGATTTGAGGAGTATTATGATTGTGATCATTGTTTCTGGTACATAATCTATTTCTTTTATATTTGAATTTGTGCTTCTTCTTTTTTATCTAGTTTGATTTTTTTTTTTTATTATAATGGATTTCTTAAATGTTTGTTGCGACGGATTTGAAATGACGTAACTTAAAACTAAAAGGTCTATTGAAGCCTAGTTTCTTCTCCAAATCTAGTTTCAATGAAAGCAGGTGTGGAGGATTTTAATTCAATATAGCTCTTCGGTGAAACGAAATCGAATTGAGTGATCTCTATATTTGAACTCGCTCTACACGTTCTTTTATTTATAAAAAGTATTTGTAGTTTGAATGAAATAAAATTATGTCATTTTTAATGAAATTAAATTATTTTAGTGTGTTTTGTGATTTTTTTTATATATAAAATTAGGAATAAAAAAAGTGGAAATAAAATGTAAAAATACATTAAAATTACATAATTTTATTAAAAATAATATAATTTTATCTTATTTAAAATGATAAGCATTTTTTTCATTATTTATTTGGCTAAACAAGCATCTTTACGCCTTAATTTTATGGTAGGTTCACCTACTTTCTACGTAGCTTCAACCTACTGTAGCAATTGATAATGAGAGCAACAGCTGGTACTTTCTTTATTGGTTCATTTATTACGAAGGCAAAGATAAATGAAAGTTTTCATCTTGATTTTCCCTTGGTTAATTTTATTTATTTTTTAATAAAACTAGTTTATATATTTACTGTCTGCTAAAACCAATGAATTAATTTGAAGAATGTCACCCCAAAACTAGTTTATTTATGTAAAACGTTTGAGATTTGGATTTTGAATATGTATTAATTTAAATTGTTAAACTATATTCATGTTATATATAATTTATTAAATTACTCCAATTTCTTGGGTTTTAGAATGTACCAAATAAGCATGGTATGCGCATAAATGAAATCCCTTTATTTGGCAATATTAAAATCTTGTGACTTACGTGTTCTGGAATCGAATGAGTTAGTGGCCGCTTATTCTAATGTCCTGTCAAAGGTGCTTTGAATTTATACTTTAATACTTTTTCTTTGCGTAAATTGCGTGCGTGCGTGCGTGCCGATTACTTAATGGAAGCCTGTGAATAAAGTGTTGTGAGACTGCGTGCCGTTTCTTCATTGGAAGCCTGTCAATTAAGTGTTTTAAGACTTGTGTATATACAGTTATACACATTGTTAGTAAATTAAACAAGACTATGGCGCTTAAGAGCTAAGTTGTGACACGTTAGGAATCGATGATGACAAATGCGGCGTCATTTTCCATGTAAGCCTTATCTCTGAAAGCAACACAAAAAAATAAAACAAAATGAAATTTTCCCAATTTATGGGTAATAGTATTACCTTGCCGTAGAAAGTAGAAACATTCCATAGATTGGTCTTATGTTAAATTTTTCTCTCGCCTCGTTTTCTTTTCTCTTCTCTGAATTTTTCTTATATATAAGAAGTAATACTGTTATCATCATGTAACAGAATAATAGTTTTACCCAAAGTTTAAATTACTAAAATGTAACTTTTTTTTGTGTTTTATATTGAGAAAAATAAGTGTATATGAATCTATACTCTTGAGATATATAAAATCATTAACGTGACATCACTCAATAGTTTAAACTTTTGGGTTGAATTGATTCTTTACATGTAACTAAAATTATTCCGCGCTTCTTTGTCTTTATTTCAATCAAAATAGCGAATTACCGCATCTTCCTCCGCTGAACAAACGATCATGTGCGTCTAACCAATTTTTCAAAAGCGGATCACTTTGTTGCGACATACAACAAAAAAGAAAAAGTGATCATAAGAAGATTTTTAAAGTTCAAACATTTCTTATAATTCTTTCTCCAAAGTCAATTTTGCAAAAGTAGTTTCTTTATTAAAAATATCTCCATTACTTCTATTTGAAGAGAGCAATCAGTGGGCAATCTTTGGTATTACTTCCAATCCATCAGCCACTCAAATATGTGACCAAGTTCCTCTAGAAAGCTAATTAAGACCAGCTCATCCCTGAACTCATTAAACTTAGCAACAAAGTTAGAGGCAATTCCAATCTCCCTCACGGATCGATCACATAAACTCATTTACCCCATTTGTTTTTGGAGAAGGTTATATATATAAACTTTTTATTTATAAACTCTTACAAATTATATTGTCTTACTAGTAAGACACTCTTGAGTGAAGTCTTACCGGTCAGACATAATGTAATTTGTAAGTTTGTAAAAAAAAAGTTTGTCAATATAACCCTTCCCTTGTCTTTGATAATTGGTGTACAATAGCACAAATAGTGGTCTCTCGGTTGCCTTTGTAGGCATCATCTGCATTGAGTTTATAAAATTAAAACCTTTTAAGGAACGATCGCCCATTACATTCCAAAATAGTTTGTTTAGATATAATTGTGAGGTTGTACTCAAACTTCCATTAATATAGATTACCCGATGGTTTCATACACTCCAGTGGATAACACATGGTGTGTACATGTAGACAGTTCAACACTCAAGTCAATATTTATAACAAATATGGAGCATAACTCACAAAGGTAAGATAATAACTTGTGTTGTTAATGAATGAAATTGATGACCCGATTTTGTATATATATTATGGCTGCTAAGGAATCTACGATTTCTCCCTTATTGGGCTAAGTGGGTATAATGGAATTGGGACTTACAACCTAAT